TCAAAATCCCAACTCCAACCTACTAAAATCTCAACTCCAACTCCAACTCCGCCAAAGTCAACTCCGACTCCAACTCCAACTCTAACAAAAAAATCCTCAACTCCGGAGTTGGAGTTGCCCAGCCCTGGTACTGTTAATCTCTAGTAAGTTTTTCTGCTTTATTACTGCTCTTAATTCTCTACTACTTGTGCTCAATTTTTGATTTAGTTTCGGATCTCAAGTTGTCGGAAGCGAAACTGGTATTATATATAACAACGAAATGGATGATTTTTCATCTCCAGATTCTATAAGTTATTTTGGTGTACCAAGTTCAAAAGCAAACTTTATTGAACCAAGTAAACGACCTATTTCATCGATGTCCCCATTAGTTATTCTTTGATCAGAATTACCGTGTACAGCAAGTATTAGGTGCGAGTGAAGGAACAAAAATAACGACAACTGTAGCTCAGGTATGTTATGTTACACTTTCTTGGTGTTTGATTTTCTATCTATGATTTTCAATCTTTTCATTCGTAGGTAGCGATGAAAAATTTATGGTCTAATCAAAATATTAAAGATACAATTGATGCTCTTCGAATTCATCATCAGTTATTGCCACCTGAATTGTTAGCAGAAGACGGATTTGATCCTGTAAGTGTAAAATAGAAGAACTTTAGGATACAACTGAAATGAACTTCATCTACTGACAGTCGATTGCTGGTAAAAAACTTATCGTATTGTAAAGTTATCTTCCACCTTTTCGTCAAAAAAAAGGCCAAGTACCATTATGTAGCATGAAAATTTTGACTTTTCAAAGTCTTGTACTGCATATACTTTGCACAGTTGTGATAGACCAACGTGAACATCTTTCCGAATTGAAACTTAATAACTGTTTAAACTTTCACGTTTTACCAAATATAACGTTGACGAGACGAAATGAAACAGAGATCGACGAATGTATAGTCAGTTCCCAGTACAGAACGGATAGCCTACAATCGATTTACTTGTCAAGTGTCAGGCGTTTCTCTAAACTGTGAGGCTTTTATAGAACAGTTATGATGCTCTGTCGACAGCATAGCATGCTTCATATCTTATTTTCTTCTTTTAAATAACTATCTAACGTTTCTTTTGTTTTCTTTTCTTAGCAAATTTTGTCTCAGTTAGCTAAACGTGGTCACAAAATAAATTGCACTGCCTATGGTGGTTCGGTCGTACAAGGTATCGAATGGCGAGATGACACACTAGAGCTGTGGACAAACAGTGATAATAGAAAAGGCGGTGCACCGGATGACTATTAAATGGATAAATCTATTCAAAACCCCGTTATTGGTGCTCTTTAACTCTTATTCGATTTATATGCTTTTTCCTTGTTATTGTTATTGTACAGTGCATTTATTATATATCTATTTTGTTTGATTCTAACTATTTTCGATGGTTTGTTAAATATCTTTATTCTGAAAATGAGGTGAAAGTATATGTGGGTGAAACGTATGGGTGAAACACACCCAATAAATAAACGAGCTTTTTATCGTGATTCGTTTGCGAGATATCATAACTGCATTGCCGATAGTCACTGTTTCTTGCGCCAGCTGTTGCCAAAAAAGTTGACTTTCGTAATGGATGCAACGTGCTGTGAGACTAATTACTCTGAGGAATTTATTGCAAAACCATTCTGCTTAGAATGTTTATAACTGAATAAATGATTTATCTCCACTTTCTTAGTGAATTTACGTAATCAACCGTACTACAGACAAAATGGCTCTTTTTTGTCCCGCTACCAACCCCTCTCGCTACTCTGGTATTATTTGATGTCAACTGTATCTAAATTAAGGAATCAATAGAAGAGTGGAAGGCAACTTTTGATAAAACGAAGAAAATTTTAAACCACTTTCTTGATGGAGGAAATTGCATATTATTTTCAAACTAAATGTCCCGCCATCTTTTCGGATTTTATTTTTGCAATATCTCTCGAAACTGTTGATCGTTTGACTTCAAACGTTTACCCTTTTATTCTATTGTGGTTTTGATCATGTGGTGAAATTTAAACTAGATATCTCTGATCGCTTCTGAGGAAACTGTATTTTATTGAGAAAATGTCAAGGGAGAAAAGGCGGCTCCGGGATCCACGCGGAATCGCGGATCCGTCTTTTTCCCCTTGTGGACGAGGCGAATCCCGCGGAGGACATTTTTTCTTTTTAACGAGTTTCTCAACGTGCTCTTTCGTCGCTCCTCTAGAAAGTTTTCTCCAAAATGCTCGGAAGTTGGACTTCTAGAAACCCATGATTTTTGGGCTACTCGTACTACTTACAAAGGGTTTTAAAAATCACTGTTAAGACATGGAATATTGTTAATAACATATTTGGATTCAGCGTCGAAAGGCAAACATTTTGAAAAAAAACCAAGTCTCCAACTAAGAATTTCAATTTTTAGAATTAATTTAAAATTTCAAAACTTCAACATTTTCAAAAATAAATATAGCACAGCTCACAAAAGAGATGGAAACTTGGTTCAAACGTGGTTGGGTACAGAATTAAAAGCTGAATAAGCGTAGGATTCTACAAAAAAGAATTTACAAAACTCTATGGATTTCCGCAAAAGTTTCCAGAAAACCCTTAAACCGAAACATGATTTCTCAATTTTTGCGATGATATAATCATATTTAGTGGACAAAACTAAGGATGTCCAGATGCTTCCGACTCGTTCTTCGGTTTTCTGAGTGAATGGTGAATTTCTTAATATTATGTGAAAAGAGCCTGGAAATCCTAATTTTCGTAACACTTGGTTTCCATTAGTTTTTTAAATCTTTTTCTAAAAACAAAAAATGTTTGCTTATGGAATCGTGTCTCCAAGTCATCTCTTTCGAATGCCAAAAATCCGAGTTCTCTAGCTGCTTTCTATCAAAAGTTATTGAAAAAATAGAAATGAAACTGAAAACATTAATCAATTTGTCGTGCGCCTCCGTTCTCTGTGGCTTGAGCAGAAACCTGGCGAACATGAACCGGATTTCACCAAACACCTTTTTCTGGCCAAATCGCGGCGGCCACCCTACTCACCGGTCCTAAATGAGCTCGACTACTCAGTCTGATACGGACTTTGTGAGCGGATGAATTGGCATCAAAAGATAAGCAAAAAATACTTTGATTAGTCAAATTCGAATTGACCTGAGAAAGATCCAGACGTAAGTTGTGCGCCGCTTGCACTCATAGGGTCTATCGGATGTTAAAGACACCATGGGAAGATGTTTTCCAAATAAGCTAGATGATTTGAAAGAGGAAAATTCTCCGTCGAACGCGTATAAAATAAGTGTTTCAAATCGTAAAAACGGAGAACGAAAAAGAGCAGAACAAAAATGTTCCATGATACCCGGTCCACGCTTTCTTGCTGATGCTTCCAACCCGTTCTTCGGTTAACATTCTTTGACCTATTGATGAATTGATGATCAAACATGACTTTATAGAAGTGAAAGTCATGTTTAAAACCGACCTAGTACGACCACACTGTCCGGCGACAAATCTTATTTTATCTTTATTTATGTCTCATTCGAAAGAGTTTAAAAAAAATGCGTCGCGTTTGTGAAAAAAACGGAGTAAAACGTCAGTTTTTCTTTTTCCATTTCAATGCATTTTTAAAAGAAACTCAGTTTTCCATGAATTCCATGAATGAACGCCATGTTTAATTTCGCGTTCCAAAACGTTTTTCTTTTCAACGTGTCGGAAATAGAAAATGACATATGGTGTCTCTTTTCGTTTTTCCTTGAAACGCGTAGAAAAGCGTTCTCTCATCTTATGGTTTCTGTGCCTTGAGAAAACAAACGGAAAGCAAGGCGTTTTTCTAGTTTCTCGTTTCAACGCTTCTAGAAAAAACCGGTTAAAAACGCGTTTTTTTATTTTCTCGTTTTGGTGAGACAAGTCACGTAGAAATTTGGTAATGGGTGGTTGACGAAGACATGGAAATATTTGATTTACGTCAGGAGTTGCACGTTCTGCTTTAACTGTGTCTACGATCGGTGTAGGTATCGTCATTTCCATTGCTGTGAGCTTATGGTCAGGCAATGCAGGCGCCGAGCATATTTTCAGCTATGTCAATCGGATATGCATTGATATTCAAGGTCTTGACGATAATAGAGTGTTGAACAATAATCAAATACAAGCGAGCAATTACCTCGATGAGATTCGTAAGGCAGACTGTGACATTTACATAATGGTATTTGAAAGAGAGTTGAGCGAAGAGCAAAACGAGCAGATTCGCCAAATTGAACAAAACATGAGACGGCATTGCGTCTTAGTAAGGTCGAAGGTGGATCGTGATTATTTGATGAAATTCAAAACATATTCGGGTCAATATTATCTACGTGCGGAACCAGAAGAACGTGAGGCGTTAAAAGACACCATTCTAGCGGAAATTAAACGAAACAATTCCGGAGAATCAAATGAAGTTTATTTAGTCGCTTGTGACTATTCGCCACCAAATAGTGATGCTGATCAATTAATCCAGGATCAATCTTTTGACTTTCATGCTTTGCTTGGAAAAGTAGCGAGTTTGGCTGCCACCATCCACCCGGAGCGAATTTGCTCAAGCGCTATGGGAATGTTCGTTCAAACAATAAATACCTGCTTTCGTCGCGGCTATATTCTCAATTCCTTAAAGTACGGCATCGCCTGTGGAGTTGCAGCTGCATTTCCATGCGGTGACCAAGTGCCGCGCTACTTGTTACGACGCACAATACGAAAGGCACTTGGTAGTGATGTGCTTGTGGAATACTTGCAGCAGTTGGACTTGACCGTATATGGTTACGAAGTACAGACATCTATATTTAAAAAGTGCGTTAAAATAGAAGAATCCGAATCAGAACTAAACTTCGCTGGAAGAAGTTTGGGCCAAGCAGCTAGTATCGGTTTCATCTTGGTCGGCACATTTTCTGATGACGTTATCAGGCTGGTAGCACCTGCGACAGCGATTGCGTCAGGAGTTGCACGTTCTGCTTTAACTGTGTCTACGATCGGTGTAGGTATCGTCATTTCCATTGCTGTGAGCTTATGGTCAGGCAATGCAGGAGCCGAGCATATTTTCAGCTATGTCAATCGGATATGCAACGATTTTATTATGATTGCAGCTGCATTTGTCAGAAACGTCATTGAAGAAACGAAACGCTAAAAGAATCAACGTACATTTACATCAAGCAAATCTGAAAAGTGAAACAGATGTACAATGAGCTTAAGATCATCGAAGTATGGCTTTAAAATATTTGAGTAGATTTTATTTATATTCTGCTATTGTCTTCTGAACCTTGGATCCGAGAAATAAAGCGTGGACCGGGTATCATGGAACATTTTTGTTCTGCTCTTTTTCGTTCTCCGTTTTTACGATTTGAAACACTTATTTTATACGCGTTCGACGGAGAATTTTCCTCTTTCAAATCATCTAGCTTATTTGGAAAACATCTTCCCATGGTGTCTTTAACATCCGATAGACCCGATGAGTGCAAGAAGTTTTTTACATTTTCTTTAGATAAGTAGTAAGAAAGCAAACAAAAGAATATCTTCTAATGTGAAAATAAAAATAATTTTCAACAAAAATCTATTACAATTCTTTCTTCAATAGTGGATGATCTTATAGTTTTTCCGACACCTAAAAACTTTTTAGAAAAAGTAAAAGAGCAGAAATTACGGTTATGATTATCGGCACTACAGAAAACTTAATTCACCGTCTTTTGTTCATCACGGAACGAGAAGGTTTTGGAGTTCGGATGCTTTTTCGTTCTCATGAGTATTTAGAACTTTGAATTGAACATATTCAAATCATAATCGAAAACTGCATTTTAGATAGTCTTCTTTTTCTTTTTTATGTTCACTATTGTCAACCTTTCCTAGTTCATTTTAATATTAAGCAAGAAAATAATCCATCTTAAAATTTCATATTTTTGCTTTGAAAATTATTAAAAAAATACAAAAAGAATTAATATTAGATTATTTGTTCAAGGGTAAAATTTGTGTCATCATCTTTTTCCAGCACTAAATGTAGTTTTTGGTTGAATATATACTTGGCGATTTTGATTTTGTAAAAACTTATCTAATTTTTTTGATGCTAATGTACTTTTCGAAAAATGTTCTTGTACAATTGCAAGTGGATCTTTATATGTGAAATCTAAATCTCCTAATTCATCTGGAAACCCATGAGCTCCTCGTTGACAGGTGATGCATATATTTGATCGTCAGCTAATGCCAAACAACATGCCCATATTAAATTTGTTTCATGTTTTTGTAATTGTTGTTGTCGTTGTTGTTGTTGTCTCCTATTGGCTAATTTTATTTGTTGTACTTTTTCTCGTGCTTGATCACCGGTTAATTGTTCGTGTGTATCTAAATCATAAACAAATCCATCATGATAACAACAATCACCATAGTTTGATTTAGCTGGTATATAATTTTGTGTACATTTTGGACATTGTTTAACTGTTTCGTCATCTATACGTTTGTCTTCTTTATCTTGTTTTTGTTTTAATTGTAAATGTGTTTCTTTAAATTCAATATCTTCAATAAGTAAACTTTTTAATAATGGATCTTTAGCAATCATTACAATCCATTTTTCAACATCTTGAGACTAGAAGTAAAACAAAACATTCATAAATTTTTAAAAAAAAATGATTCGTGATAAAAAATAGTTAAACATTCAATCAACAGATGGATGTTTTAGCTCGTGCTTCATTTCTTATTTCACAGACAAGTGATTTTTTCAAAGAAAGATCTCTTTCTGTAAAAAATAGCTTAGTGGCAATATTTCGTATCATTAACGTAAAGAGTGATAAAAGTCGGAAACGTACATTGTACTATGTATCCGAAGCATGAACTAGCATAGTGAAAACTAGTAGATACAAAAAATCTTGGTACAAAATGTTTGTTCATTTTTCGGCCACTTAGAAGTAACTTGAGAAAATGAAAAGTAGTCAGTTAGAATCACAATTTGATGCTCTCTCTAAATGTGTATTCAGAATTTTTTCTAACTTGAAGTTAAATCATTCAGAGCAAATCATTAATGGAACCAAAAATGACGTTTGTACAAAACACTGGTTTCAAAGGTCTTGGCAAATATGTTTGCTGATTTTTCAGACATTATAATGTAATTGAAAAGGATCCAGAGTAGTCGGTTAGAACCAGCATTTGATGCTTTCATAAAAAATAGTTAAACATTCGAAATATATCTTTAGAATTTTGCTTTGACTTACAACTAGTTAGCTGTCAGCAAATACCCGAATCAATAGAAAATGTCGTTTGCACTACGCAAATAGGCTTTTCTCCTCTCATTCGTAATTTCTCTAAAGAGTATTCTGGGATACTTTTTAGTTCCTATTGCTGTAGAGAATTTAATGTTCTACAAAATCATGGGTTGCAATTAGCGAGAACTCAAAAGAATCAAAAGCTAGAAACATTTTTCGAAATGCTGCTTTTTACGTGAGATGATATTTTTCAAAATAATCGTTTTTTGAGATTTTCGGGATTAAAATGCAACAGATTCTGATGGTTTGCAACGATATGTAGAAAGCAAAGCAAATTGGGCATTTTGTAGAGCAATCTTCGTTCTACAATCTGGTGTGTAAAAACACTACGCTAAAAGTTGAATTGAGACAGTTTTAATCAAAATACAAAAATGGATTTAATGAAATATTCTGTACAAACGTCATTTTGGTCCCATCAATGATTTGCTCTCAATGATTTAACTTCAAGTTACAAAAAATTCTGAATACACATTTAGAGAGAGCATCAAATTGTGATTCTAACTGACTACTTTTCATTTTCTCAAGTTACTTCTAAGTGGCCGAAAAATGAACAAACATTTGTACTTTTCTCATCTTTTATCCTTGTCAACGTTCTTACTTACATCGCTTATGTATTCTAGGTAATAGTTCATGATTTATCAAGGCAATTAAAAATAAAAACATACAACCCAGCTTCTATAAGCATTATCTTCTACGTATGAATCAGTATCAAGCATCTATGAAATAATTGTAACCATTAGAATACGAACCAAAACTTATGTAAGATTAACTGTGACAGAATTTGTTTTCAACGTTATTTTTCAAACTACTATCGGCGCCAAAATACAATGTACTTGCATGTTTTTTAAACAACTTTAGATAGAAAACAGCTAGAGAGCTCCGGTTTTCGCCATTCGAAAAAGGAGGCTTGATGACATGTTTTCGTAACCAAAATTGTTTTCAGAAGAGTTGTTTGAAACAGATTTCCAAGGAGATCTTTGGAAAACTAGGGCATCTGTAAAAATTTTCTAATAGGATTGTATTGCTTTATTTTCATGGGCTGATAGCCCGGATTGTCTTCTTCAAAATGGGAGTAAAGCGAGACCCTGATTTTCCGCGGTTCGAGCGTTGTATCGGATTTCCTACGAGTCCCAAGACTGGCACTCGGTGACTAATTTTAGCCTTAGAGACGGATCGACTATGGGTAATCGACCGTGCTGAGTTTCGCGGCAATATTTATTTTTACAAAAAATTTTAAAAGTCTACCAAAAAGCCAGTTTTACGAAAATTAGGGTTTTCAGGCTGTTTTCACCTAGTATTAAAAAATTCACTATTCACTCAAAAAACATCACCTAAGCTCAAAACCTCAGGATACGATTAATGTTGTCCGCCAAACGCGAGTAAAGAGGCTCATGGGTAGGCCAATATTTGGTGGTTTAAAAACATAAACGTATTATTCATATCACAATGTATAAATTTCGTATTCAAATAGTAACATCAAGATATTTTTAATTTTTACATATGCAATACTTGAAAGATTAACAATAAACTAATAATATATAAATAACCTGAGAAGTAACACGAAACCAACCCTTAACAAATGTAACGAACAGCCCAGAATGAAAATACGTAAACACAGTCACACACAAGTGGAATTTAAATATTATTCTTGTTTCTTCCCTATCTACATGGCAAAGTTCGATTCTTTTTTTTCATAACTCGTGAAGAACATGATGTTAAGAATATTTTGCGACATCAGAGTTTGCATTTTTTGCATGGCATACGGACATGTTTTGTAATGTCATATGTAAGTAAGTAAGTAAGTACCGCAATAAACTCAAAATGCTCTGCTATACGTTTTAAAGTATGTTCTTTCTACTGGTGAAGCGAGAAATTTGTTTACGACTTTCTTTGGAGATTGTTAATAAAACTCCGACGACTTTTGGAAAACCAAGTGTTTTTAATGGGAAATCTTATACGTTTTCGCGTGTGCTTATTCTGGAAGTGATACCAAAAGGACTATTACATCTCTTCTTAGTTTTTAGAAATCTGGCAGGGTTTTTTGGGGAAACCAAGTTGATTAAAAATACTTTCTGATTTGAAAAATATATACTGTTTTGCTTTCAGCGCCGTTCATGTGCCAGAAACCGGCTTAGTAGCTGCTCAAATAATTTTGAGCCAGATGGAGTGATCATAATAAAACCTCGAGACTAAGTTCTCAACTGTAGGTGTCATGGACAATTGTACTAATGTTGAGAGTCTAAAACGAAGAATAAATTTTGAAGTATGTATCTCTATCTCCATTTCAAGCAGGAACTCAGGAACTCAGAAATTCATGTGGTCATATACGTGTGCGTGTGTAAGTTTAATAGAATACTATAATTTTAATATTTCGAAGTATCAGAGTTTTCACATAAAACATCCCGTAAGACATAGGTGAAGTGAAACTGCACAATATTACATTTTAAGAACTCCACCTTTCACAATTCTATAATTTCGCATTTGCAGAATTTTAGAATTTTAGAAGTG